GTTTATACTGTGACCGCTGTTTCTTTGAGGGTTGGTTGTTTTGATAAAGATTACAATACAGTATAGCCTTTTTGATATCATTCTATTCTTTATTGATATCGTGGTACAATTCCTTTCAAGGCTTTTACTCGATGGTATGAAGCTCACTGAATCAGGAACGCTCCAAAGTAATCATGAAGAGGACCCATGTAAAGTGTGACATCGATCGCGGCTTCTAACGATATGGTGTCACCAGCCTTTAGACGAAACGCTCCCCCTGCATATTTGGATCCATCCGATACGTCCGAATAGTCAAGCATGGTGAGATATTCCTCGTAATTCTTGATAACCAGCACCCTCCCGCTGTGAAAGTACAGTTGTGCGTAAACATAGTACACTCCATCTTCAGGCACCTTCAGATGTCCATCAGTGTATATCATGCCGCCCTCGAGAAGGCTGTACCCATTTTCCATGTCCCAGTCTGTAATCTCTGTAAGGAAATTTTCGAGTTGACTATTAGTAAAAGTGAGAAAGTCGTTGAAGCAACAAGAAAAGATCAGAACAACCTTGCCCATCTTCATAGGAAACTACTTGCAACGGGCTGGCCTCGATGTGACCCAGAGGCCGATACGGGTCCTATAATAAGATAAAAAAATACGAGTATCGGTTTAATACCGAAGAATATGAAACTTTCCAACCCACGTTTACGGGGACTTGCCTATATCTTAATTTTCTAAAGACTAGAGTCGAACATTTTTATAGGATGTCTACGACTAATGACTCTAGTTTTCAAATTCTCACTTGAAAAGATTTCGACTTGTCATTTAAATTTTTAAACAAATGCAAAACTGTAGAACTTGATTATGACAGATAGCATAAACCGTTTGTGATAGAATGGTTGAAACAGATAACAAAGCCTGAAATCAAGAGTTAATGTCCTCTTACGGAAGGGAGTGAAGGCATTAGTTTTTAAAGAAAGGTGACGAAATGAAAGCTGGATCATCAATAAAAGATATATGAGTATTTAACTCTCTTGAGTGAGGTACAAAGAAAAAAACTAACCTCCAACGAGAAATCGAACCCGAAATGTTCTGTTTTCGCAGTCTGACGCCCTACCATCGAGCTACAGAAAATTATGAACAGTTTGTGCACTTGTCTTACCTTTGGTGATGGAGCCGCTTCCACGTTAGTGTATATCAGAAAAACACAAGACAAAAGGATCTTCACTTCAAGGAAAGCCATGATGTTGAATATATCTGAGAGATACTGTGGGAGAAATTGTGATTGTTCAGAAGAATTTTTTCACGAAATCAAAATGGCTTTCAAGACCAAACACCACTTAAACCATGAACAAAATGGAATTTTTAGACTGAACTCACCTTCGGAAAGGCTTAGACACAAACTGTATGAACTCGGCCAAGTAATGATTGTATTTGTTCGATAACCTCC